CAGATGCGCCGATGCGTCCAGTGTTTCTTCCTGCGCTGGGTAAGTTTGCTTCTTTGGATCGATCGAATCTACCAGGGTTCACCCCATATACTTGGGTTTTGGGGCCATTCGGAGCATGCTCGTTGGTGAAGTTGGAGCATGCGAATGAATCCGAGCACCCTGCAACGAGCCCACCGGCTCCAATAGATGGATGTCCCATCCCCCGGAATCGCAAACAGAATCAGATAGAATCAGTGATACCATGTGGTTGACCGATCAAAGGATGAAGTCCCTTGCAAAATCCCCTTGTCAATATAATTTATAACTCTATAATGAAATGGGGAGGGGCAACAAACACAGGCATGCTTCATCATGCTTCTAATGAGTTGTTTATTGTAAAATGGGGATCTTGCACAATTAGGACGCTATTAGGTGGAGGCCATCGCAAATAGGTTGGGCATCGCTACCAGGAGCAAGGACGCTACCAGTAGCTCCTGGCAGTACTACTAGGAACAAGGGCATCGCTACTAGTAACAAAGGGCACTACTAGTAGCAAATAGCTACTAGGAACAAGAAGCTGCAAAAGAAGAACGAAAAAAGAAACACGGAAATCGTTTTTATTACTAATTTGATGGACTTCACTTCGCCCTGCAGCCGTGCGCATCCGTGCGCCTGAACCCGCGGCCGCGAGGCAGTGGGGCGGCCTCGAGTAGTGCAAGAGCGGCCCAGTTGGGGGGAGGAGTTCTGAAGCGCAGCGTGCCAGGCTGCCATGTGCCCGAAGTGAGCAGGTTCAAGGATTCAACATGACACACGACACCGCAACCAACCCTGTTTTGTTATTCCCGTGGGGATTGCAATAAAGGACATAAAAGGGAAAAGGACTTACTTTCTAGAAGAGGCAAAAGTCTTTAAGCCGGACTACTTCAAGCTTGGTAAACAGCGGCCTTTTTATAGACCTGCTTCGGCTCTACGCAACATACAGACCATTCAGATATGCTATCAGAACAAGCACTTTACGTGTACACCAGAAATATTGAGCCCTCGAGTCAGAGCTTGAGAGTTTGAATGAGTTTGATAACCTAGGTGAATCTACCAACCTCATTGCCTCATTCTGCATGGACTTCTGGAAGGTCAGGTTTGCTAGGCCTTGCACTTCTTGGGGTGTCCCGAAGGATTAATTGAGACCAACATGCAGAAGGGTCCAAGTGCATGTTTGTTTCCCATGGCACGTGCCCAGCAATCGGTGCTATCCCTTTTCTTGTTCCAACGTGGGACGGACCAAGGCCAGCGTCCCAAGCAATCCAAGGTGGGAGAAAGTGGGTGCATTGGAGTGGTCCTATGGCCTGAAGCATTTTTGCCGGAGGTGAAGTAAGAGAACATGATTTCAATAGAGTGGGCTCAAGAGTAGAATTCATGTATTTGATGTAGTTCAATGTCACAAACCTACTATCATAAGACTACATATTATACTGTATGTATACATATATATATATATGCATCATGATTATATGAATAATTCCGTCATATGTGTAGAATACTCTTTGTCAACCAGCAATGTATGTCCATGGTGCTTGGCATATGCATAAACAGACACTTTGTATGGCTTCTTTTACTGGCAGACCTGCGCTAGCCAAGCAGGTCCTTTACACCTCGACCTCTACCATGTGCCTTGCTCAGAATATATGGAGTATGGAGAGGAAGGGGAATCATTTGGTGAAACAAGACGACTGGAGGCATGTGTACTTGTCCCTGGCACCAACATGTGAGGAACCCCCCTCATAGGTCCAGGCAGCTATCCCACCAGGACGACCTGGCAGGTCATTGTCTTTGCGGGGTACATCTTTCATCAACCATTCATAAGCCACTTCAATCGTTTTCGATTCATTTCCCATCATTTTCCCAACCATCTACTACGCATCTTCACTCCAATTGCTTTGTCCCAACGAGCCCCCTCAAATAGAAGATGGAGGAGTGTCGGGGAGACATGATTCCGAAAGTTTCCTAAACCAGTTGGTATGCAGTAATGATTAGTTATGTGTATGTGCATGCATATGTGTGCATATTGCACCAAACATCACGCATATTTGTTTCTTTTTGGCAGTGTACGCTTGTCCAAGACTGCTAAACTATACCATACTAAAAGTCCTGTGAATTCACAGTACTGTATTTCAGTCTGTGTTATCCAACTGTACCTGTATTTCAGTCTGTGTTATCCAACTGTACCTGGATAATCCCAACGGTCTGTTAGGTAATCAACCCATCCGGTACGTGTTGATTGCAGGAATTGGATTATCTTTGAACTATCACCTAAGCCTCCAAGGAGGATGCAGTATGGATCACAACATCCAGTTGCATCAGAGTGGTACGTGACGATGCACCTCATTCGAGCTGGGCTATGCTAGACAGTCACCACCTATATAGATTATATACCAAGATTCTCAACCCTGCACCATCCTGCGGCCCAGAAAAGGACTGACCGTACCACCCTGACTATGCATTATCCATCCAAAAAACAACCCTTCGAGATCTTCGAGTGGTGATGGTATATAGTCATACAGTGTGTGTATATATAATTATAGAAGCTTCAATATGTTTTGGATGTTTATGTTAAGCTTTGTTTGACCCACCCCGAGGGAGAACAAAAACGATCAGCCAACTTATTCAAGCGCTGTTCTGCAGGCTCGCTTGCGCCGAGCGCTCCAGTCCCAGTCCCTCCCAGCACCCCAGCTGATTCCAAGGAGGCCAGCGGACGGAATGAAATGTCTACGCTGAGTGTCGTCAATCCTTTTGTGGAAATGTGCCCACCTGGACCTCAGTTTGACCGCTTGGACCGATTCAATCATATTCTGCAGTGCTCAGGGTGTGTGTGTGTGTGTGTGTGTCCACTCCTGTTTCCAAGGACACTACCCTAGTTTTTCTAATCTACCCTACAAGCTTTTTGTACAGAAGCAGGGGGCATGGCAGCTGTTTCCCTAGCCATGCCAACGAAGCTACGGGATTCAGCCGGAAGGGAATGTGGACGCACATTCCTGTACCTGCTATGTGAACTGTTTTCAAACTGTTCCACTGTTTAGTCGCTGAGATTTCTAAGTCAGTGCAACGCTGTCTCATACGTTGTTTCCTGCAGTAACTAGATTTAAAGGGCTAATGCACACCGCGAAGCTACCTGAAATCACGCTCCACGGAGCAACCTTCTCAAGTGTGTGTGTGTGAGTGCTAAGTCACAAAGTTGATGGGTGCAGTGCCGCAATCATGATCTTCACAGCCTCGTGGTCTCTCATGCTTAGGCATTGGCTATAGTGACCCATATACGGGCTCCGACGACATGTTTACAATCGGCGACAGCGACAGACGAGAGAAGTTGACCCACACGACCGGCCCGGTTGACGTCTTTTGGGTCGACTTGCACAGCGGAAGCAGGATATTTGGCCCAAAAAAGAAGGTGCCTCACTGTGCTTGTTTTTCCATGTTTTTTTTCTCCAGGAGGTGTGGATCGGTCCTGTTTTGTTTGACCCTCTTCTCGATGTTTTCTGTGCAGGACACGCAGGCGCCACATCGCCATCGAAACGTGTGGGGCGCCACGTGGGAAACATCAATGTGGCGGTGATGTCTTTGGAGATGAGGGAGAGATACTTGTTTTGCATGAATCAAGTGCCTTCTCAAGATATGGTGCAAGATGGTTCCCAAATGTTTTCCCAATTGTTGTAAAACCAGCGAGCTGATTAGTTCGTTTGTTCAACCGGAAAAACTTGGTGAACATGAATACTTTGTCTCAGATCAGGGTGGTTACCAGAAACCCTTTTTTGCTTGCGTGCTACGATGCTGAGAGCTTGGCGGATGTCGGCCAAGCATTGGTAAGCGCATGTTGTCATGATCTTGACGAGACCTTGCAATTGTTGGTTTATGCGACGACCGGAATACAGAAACAACGAGAGAGACATCACCCTGGAAGACAATGATAGAGTTTGGATGGCTTTGGAGGAAAGATGATGAAAGATGACAAGAGCGCCCCAAGCTATGCTTCGAACTCTTCAACTGAAGAGTTTTCTCAAACAATGCCAACATGGACCGTTCTGTGCTCCAGTCTTTGGCGACATCTCAAACTGGAAGTCTTCTCAGACTCAGATGGATTGAAGTTCTGAGGCCCACGAACCGGCCACTTCGTGCGAGGGAACTCTTGCGCGCCAGGGTAGCCAAGACACGAATCCATGGTGACGTCTCCGCTTTTGGATGTCTTCCATCAAACTTGCTCTCAGACCGCTTAACATGACTCCCTCAGTACTTGAGTAGGACGCACAGCTTTCCAATTCTTTGGTGTTTGCTGAAGCCGCCAGGAAATTTTTCCCGCCTGCATCTCAAGATGTGACATCAAACCATGCGATCGGGCGGGTTCCAGAGCGAACCTGCTGGAAGCGACTAGTAACTCAGAAGCAGACCGAAGCAACGCCGAAGCGGCCGAAGACAAAGACCAGACCAAGAACCTGGGTCGCCCAAAAGAGAGAAAGACCATAAATGGCATTGGATCAACTTCTCTTCACTGCTTACATAATATAATAATCTATATATATAGCATGCCTGTAGTGGGTCTAAATTACCAGAGATGCGGAAAAGCAGTGGGCAATTTGATGTTTATGGTTTTTGAAGATTGGCACGGTTGCCACGATGGCCTCCCTTTGGGAGACATACAACATATATATATATAAGGTGAATTTTGTCTATTAAAGCTAATTAAGACTACAACTATACTTCTTGGGGGATTGTTAGGTCCCAAAGTGTTCCTCAAGCGTCCTTGATTCGAGAAATCAGTTATGACTGAGTGGCAGCTCCCCACCCGGGCCATAGTTTAAACCAGCTCGAAATGGGCCAATTGCTCCTTGCAGCACTCCCACACTAGCGAGTACTGTATTTAAATGTACTTAATATAAGTACCCAGCCGATGAACGCCCCCAGCTTTGCACACCTTCGGGCCTTCAAGGCACTCATTGACGAAAGGCCCACTAAACCGTCATCAACACCCACTCCACCGTGCCACACTCGCCGTGGTGTCCCGTGACTCCCGCGGCGGCGAGCGGCCGCGCCATGTCGCTCACACTGACGGTGTCGTTGCTGAGCGGCCGCAGCGTCACCATCTCCAGCTCTTTGGAGTCCACCGTCGAGGAGCTGCCAGCGATTCGGCGCCGACACGGTCGAGCCTGCTCCGACAGGTGCTCCGACTTCGTTCGTGTCGGAGCAGGCTCCAACAGTCGGTGCACCGGTCTGTGCTGTCGGACTTAGGTTAATTTTGACTGGACTACTGGCAAAGACCATGGAGAGCATCCCAATTCCCCAGATTGAGGGTGTTTGTGTACAGCTCCACGGGTCAACTTCTCCGAACAATGGGCTCCAGGAGTTGCGGCTTCAAGCACAGCTGGGACTGAAAGTGGGCTTGGAACGATTGGTCACTGAGTCGCCCGGTCTTCGATTTTGGAGTCGACCGAGAACCTATAGCCTATAGACACATATGGTTCGACCCGACACCCACGAAAAAGCGCAGGTTGGAGCTGGCGGAGTTCTCATGAGTCAAAGATAATGAAAACAAATGAAAACAACGCTGAGGATGTTGTTTACCGTGTGCTTGATTGTGCTTGTCTAAAACTAAAACGGGCACCGACTTTCATGCTGCAACAAAGGGTAGACTTGCAATGTGGTACGTAGACAGCTAGATGTTCTTATCCATGGCCTGATACTTCCCTGCTTGCACTTGTCAAGCTCTTACACTCCAAAATCGCTGAAACACAGCGATCACCGATGTGCGCCCGCTCAAGCTTTGTGCTCGGCTCAGGTCCGGAGTCATCCTTCAAGCCATGTCGACGCTGCGCCAGACACGGCTCTCTGAGGGTGCCACATTGACCGCGCACGTGCGAGACGCGGCAGAAGAACAGAGACCGGAGGGGTCGTCATTGGCCATGGGTCCGGAAGAATGTGCCTTTACAATATGCAAACAGTATATCATTGCATGGTGACATGTCAAGGATCTTTACACATACAAATGGATATAAATGGGTACACTGTCTTCTAATGAATGACTGGAAAATGTGTTTGGCAGTCAAGAACCCCATGAGTTTCTTTCTTATTGGCACCTGTACGTTTTTCGGTGAGTGTAAAACGTTAGTTGATTGCTTGGTTTGACGTGCAATAGCAGTGGTTGACTGGGGGAACTCAACAACAACAACAACAACAACAACAACAACAACAACAGCAACAACAACAACAACACTAATTATATACTCCATGTCCATGTCATTAATTTCGTCATGACTTGGGTCCAACGACTTATACAGACAAGAATCTTGAACTTTCTTACCTGCACAGTGAAGGGCAGTGGCTGAGCTGTTTGAAGGAGATCCTCTCACACAAGGACTTGCTTACTCTGCCCAACAGCAGGTACAGGTAGGCACTTGCCTAGTCAATCATATTCAATTTATATACCACCACCACCACCACCACCACCACCAGCAGCGGCAGCAGCAGCAGCACCAGCACTAGCAGATCCCCTATACTATATACATCCATACCTTCTCACCCTCCTCGTCTCGGAGGACAGGCACAGCTCGTCTCCTCGGCCTTGGCCTTTGCGCTGCTCCGCTCAGACGGCACAGTGGCCACCTGGGGAAATCCGATCGACCCTCGGGCGAGGACAGATGAAGGTGTCGGAGTCATTTGGGTGTCCTGTGTCAGGTGTCCCATGGGCCATTCTGGGAAGCGGTGATGTGTGGATCATGTGGCGATTATATACTGTATATGTGCGGTCCTTGAAATCTTTGTTTCGGAGGCTTCTTTAACCCTAAGGCGCACTTTGTTCATAGTTGCCGGTTTCGTGGCAAGTGTTGTCCTTTGCAGGTGAGCGTCTCCCACTACTTTCTTCGGAAGCATATTATGGAAACAGCATCGCACCTCAATGTCCCTGACAGTTTGTGGAAAGGCTGACCGGCTCTAAAAGAACTCCCAAACCACGTGACGTGCTGATGTCCATTGGGTGTTCAGGAAAGTGTTAACCACATGTGTTTTTCACATTTTGCAGTAAACGTCGTAGACCAGAGGATTTGAAGCCGTGCATTTGTACATGTCAGTTCTCATCGACATCTCATCGACGGACGAGTTCGCCCAGTTCGTTTGCACGAGATGTCCGACAACTGTTTCCATTGTGGGTTGGGCAACCTCCAATTCGCACCCATGTGGAACTTTTGGTGCATAGTGTTTCTGCGAGCACCAGCTTTGGTCAGACACGATTTGTCATCATGCTGCAGGCCCGTAAAGCATCGTAAAGCTGTGCACTGAGGATGGGGGGGACAGCAGTTCCGTGCAAGAGCTGTTGAAGGATGTTAATCAAATCCAATCATCGCTGCAGCTGGCCGATGAAAGCTTTAATGTTTGTGGCTGGGAGTGGGCACACAAAAAGATGCTTGAAGAGGTGGATGTCCTACCTACCTGGGCAGTGGTAACATGTGGTGGTCCTGTTCTAGAAGAGGAGTGCGGAATAAAGGGACTTCCATGTGTCTTGTCAGAATCGTTTGGGAGGTGGTTGTGCTTGGACGGCTGTTTGGCCAAGTCATGTATAACTTGTGCAACCAACATATAGATATACTACATCGATAATTTTAGATCAGTCCGGGGCATCACTGTCACTAATGACTACTGTAATTTTAAAGGAATATGTACGAACAAGCCCCCGTCAGATTTGGACTTAGGAGCCAAAATTGGTACCTACGTGTGACCTGTGGCCAGATTACAAGGTCATCAGCCATGCAACTTCTGGGCGTTCTTACTTGCTCATGCTCACATTGGTGCATGCTCTCCTATATCCAACCGATTCCTCTCCACACACTATGAATCTATATGATGTGTAGTATGATGTGTTTGTCTCACATGCAGCACGTGCTTTACTAGATGCATACGCCGCACTGTCGGTCGGTATTCTCTAGAAGAAAACCCAATGTTTCTTTTTTTCAGATCTTCCCTTTTGCTTCAATCAGCGGATCGCAGCCCAATCAGGCACGCTTTCGCAGCGATACGCTCTGATGGTAGTGTTGTGACCTGGGGGCGGATTGGCGATGGTGGCAACAGCAAAGGAGTCCAACCTTTGTTGCTTGGCAGATGCACCCCCTTCAGGACTGTTGGCTCAAAATCCCAAGTGGTGGTCTACAATACGGATTGGCCAACAACATTCTTGGGGATTTGAGCCCTTCGAGTTCTGAGGAAGGAATATGTACCTATTGGTGCGGGACGGTGGAATGTGGAGGTGGACCACTGGACATGGACAGCTAAGTTGGAGGGTACCTTTTTCGGGTGAACATCCCTTGGCGATGCCCAAGACCTCAGTGGGTGCGGATCCTCATGTCAGACCCGTCGATCTTCTACCACTTCGGCCGTCGATGGCTTGAGGGGACCAGAATGCGACACACAGTGACACACACTTGCACATCCTCATAGACAGCTGCGTGCAGTATGTGTATAAGTGTTGCATAGTCTTCCCAAGGATTCAAATGTTGCATTTGAGTAGTTTGGCAACTAACTTGTTTGCTTGTGAATTGTTGCTTCCTCTGCAACCAGATAGATTTGGTTTGTTAGATGCCCTTCTAGGTAGGACTCCAAGGTGCATGCAAAGAGGCGATGACAAAAACATAATGTGGTTTGCACGATTGCCCGTCCACATCACATCATTTACTTTCTCATGGTAAATCTCATCCATCCACTTCGTAGCCAACGAAGTGTTGTTTTTCAACGTTTTTCCTCTCAACCACTCTTCGTAGCAGAGTTGTTTCGTCTCACCACTCGGGTGCCGTTCCGAGGCTTCAGGATGTGGTTGCCATTCAGAGTTCTTCGCGGGCCTTTGCCGCCATCAAGACGGACGGCACAGTCGTGACCTGGGGCGATGACATGTGACTAGGACCCAAAGAGGACTGGGGAGATGGAGGACCGGGACCTGGCAACAAAGTCCAGATGGCCGGACAGAACCATGCCCACTTCAGTTCCTATCACAAATTTAGAGAGAGATGCTAGTAGACATGCTACGGCTGCTATGGAATCCTGATTATGTGGCTACGGTGCTACAGACACTCAACGTAGGCGCCAAAAGATGGGCCTTGAGATGCCCACATGGACGTCGAGTTCGCGCGGTTCTCCAAGAGCCACTGGAAGTTCGTTGGTTCCGGTGGGGCGGTTCAGGAAGACATGGCCGTTCAGTTCTGAGGTATGGTGGTAACTGCCGGGCACAAAAAGATCAGCTGAAAGATGTGCAAGCGATTCATGCTTCCAGGCCGGGGCCTTCCGTTCCATGGGCAGGTCAGTGCGGAGCACGCAGTTCCGAACTGGTAGCCTGATGGGAGGAAGACAGAAGAGGATGAAACTGGTGACATGCTCATGATGCTCCAAGCGAATTGATTGCATTGATTTGAAACTTTTCACGTTTGGGAGCAGTCCATGATGCTGTGCAATTGGCCGGTGCTCCCGACTCCCGACCAATGTGTTTGCTAAACACTAAACTGCTCTCGCAACATTTTGTAGTAGCATGCCCGAAGCATGACCCAACGGCTTGCTCAGAACTTCTCCGCCTAAAGCTCTTCCATACAGAGCCCATTGCAGGCATTGACAACGATGATGTTCCGCTACCCCGAGCACACGCCTCCCTAAGAACTAGTTACACCCACCACACTCAGCAGACTTCATAGCTGCGAGGTGGTCTTTTGGGGCCGCTTTTGCTGCCTTGCGCCAAGATGGCCGGGTGGTGAGCTGGGGCCTTCCTCACGCTGGGGGCGACACTTGGATTGCTAGCCGGCAAAAGTGTTTGTTCGTTGAAAGTCGTGAGCGTTCACCTTGGGGAATTCCACAAAAGACGAGACATATCATATTTTATAGCCTTAGCATGCAGTGGCATGCAGATAAAGATAGGTATTTTTGAACCAAATGCCAAGACCACAATGATGACTGAGGACAGCAGCGCTTTGCGAGCACAGCTGACAAATGTGAAGCAGATCCTTTGGATTGACCGTGGGCATGTTCAGGTGTTCAGCAGATTTGGAGCCAGTCGGGCTTCGTCCACCCTCACTCCATCAACACTCGGCGACGGTGATTCCTCATTTGCGAGGTTTGTATCCGAAAGCTGAGCTGGGCAACGGCCCAGCGACGGCCCTTGTCGCAGCTGGTTCCAACATGTTCCAACTGAGTTTGGATCTCTTGGCCCTGCGGCTCCTGTGTGATTGGTGGGACTCCTTAATTCGGCTCCACTGGGCTGTAGAAATGTGGTATCGTTGGGCTAAAAACTCTGTCTTTCTAGAAGCTTTTGGTTGTCCAATCATTTGACTGCAACACCTGTTCTTTACCAAAAAAAACTGTCCAAAACATGCCAAAACTAATTGACTTTAGTGTAATTGTTTTCGATATTTTTGGACTGACTGCTTTGGCAAGCATGAGTTCCCATCCGTCCATCTTCATTTCGCCTGCGTGACACGGGATATGTTTTTCTTTTATTTGTGTTGAATTCTGAATAACTTATATATATATATAGTTTTTCAAAATGATTGCCGCTTACTTCGCTCAGTCAGTTCGTTTCACTTCGTTCGTGCAGAGGCTCACAAAACTATACACTGACCAAACAGGATTTTGGGGTAGCCCTGTACTGATGTTTGAAACATGCGCTTCGCATGCTGCGCTTCCCAGGATCCAAGCCACTCACTTTGGCGGCTCATTTGCTGCCTTAAAGCACGATGGCACGGTGGTCACTTGGGGCATCCCCCATAGTGGTGGGGACTGCAGCAGTGTGCAGGATGACTTGCGCAATGTGCAGTCGACTCAGGGCAGCAGAGGGACGACTGTGGCAGGAGGTCCTGTGGGACGAAATCCTAAAAAGCATCCCATGGTAGGTTCCTGGTGGGTTCCTAGGTGCTGCCCGCCCATGATTTCTTAGACTGTGAGATCCTTCCATTTGGACTCAGCACTCCTTCCATAGGTTCCCAGCCATTTGACCGGGAAGGGAAGTTCTGGCTTCTCAGTACTCCCATTGCATGGTCAAACAGCAGGTCCTTAAGGTGCTGAAGTATGATTGGTTAGGATCCAAAAGTGTGGGGATCCGCAAGACCATGACAAAAAGTCACTAAAGGAATACAAAAGAAGTGATGGTGTTTGGACCAACCTACCGTAACTGACTGGATCCTTTCCCCCGAAGAAACTGCAAAAATCAATCCAACGGCTGTTAGATACCTGTTCTTTTTCTTGCCACCGGTGACCACTGAGGATCCAAGCCACTGAGAGCGCGTTCGCCGCTTTGCGTCACGATGGTCATGTGGTGACCTGGGGCAGCGATCGCGATGGCGCTGACAGTACGGAGGTGGCGGCACAGCTGGAAAACGTGCACCTCGGCGTTCGCCAGGGGAGCAGGTCGGAGATCTCATCACCTACCAGTAGAGTCTAGAGAAAGAGAACAATGGAAAAAGGATGAAAAAGGCAGGTTTTGTGGTGGTTGTTCCGGTAACAGGTACGGGTATACTTCATCCCACCATCATTGATTCAAGTGAGCCGCTCTAATAACCTGCCTTTACATCTTAAGTAAGGACCTTGTCATATCGAATTCCGCGTAAGCAATACCCTCGGTTGCGTAAGATTGCGTAAGCATTTCGCGTAAGCATTTCGGAAGTTTGCTCTGCGTAAGCAAAAGTGAGGGCCGCGTAAGCAGCGCGTAAGGCCTCGCGCAAGGAAAGTGATACGACATAGGGAGTGACTCCAGGTTTTTAGAGTGGCTCAAGTAGTTTTTGGGAGGATTCCAAGTGAAGAAGAAATGAATTCTTTGGGCATGGTGAACGAGGCACAAAGGCCCAGACATTGCGAATGGTCCTATGATTCTACGTATGGGATCTACGGTTTGTGCGCCGCCTCTTTCTGAAAGGTGCCCGATTCCGATTCCACTGGTTAGCGGTAAGAAAAGCATCACGGAACTGTGGTGATGTTTGTATAACTTTGTTAACAAATACGGTTAGGTGACTGTATAGGATTTGCCTGCAATTCACCACAGATATGTCAGCTGCGCTTGGGCTGAACAGACGCGAATCTTCATCTCCGCTTCTACGAGGCTCTCGTTCTGGGTTTTCAAGGTCCAAGAAAGCTGGGTAGACCATGTTTGTTTAAATAAACAAACGGTTTGTAGTTAGACCAGCTATCACTGGGTCTATCACCAGCTTTGAATGGGTCTGCTAGACCAGCTTGTGAATCAATCACTGAGTATATGCATTGATTCATGACCTGCCGAATACAACAGTGGAGACTGCGGAGACGATGGATGTTGCGTTGCAACTCAACTGACTGCCAAAAGCAGAGCACTTGCCGTGAGGGCAAGCTGTTCACCGGTGAATGCAGAACTTTTTGGGCATCGCTTGACAGCGCACTCCTGTAAATCTCTATACTGTAGTGCACTGTGCACACTCATTTCTCAAAGCACCTCTCAGACACAACGTGAGGAGAAGAAACAGCAAATTGCACATAATTGCACTAAAAGGTGAAGGAACACGCCTGGAAATCGCGGTAGCAGAAAAGCATGACATGATTTTTACATATTTTTGGATGTTGGTGGCATTGATGGAGCCCAGAAGCACAGAATTAGCGACACGGACTGTGTTTGCAAGCAGCGGCCGTCATTTCGCAGACGTGTGTGTTACCTTGCAAGGCGAGGTTTGACGGTCGACCTATTATACAACTTTAAGTCCATTCAATTCAACAGCAATATTTGCTGGTTTCTTGAGATTCACGTGCCGCAAACTGATGTTGTTCTCCTCGGTTTTCCAAGGAGACACATTCAGGCGACCTCCAAGGCCTTCGCAGCCATTCGAGCAGATGGATCCGTCGTAACTTGGGGAGATCCGGATTGCGGAGGTGAGAGCAGCTACGTCCAAGATCAGTTGATCAATGTAGAGCCTTGGGCCAGTGATCAATGGATCAGTTGATGTTGGAATGGTTCAATGATGTTTCACACACGTGGATCTTTTGGGGGGTTGTCCTACTACGTAATACCAGTAACATTCGATAAACGGCTATTTCACTATGTTAGAGAAATGCCTTTACTCATTACTCATCATCATCATCATCCATTGTTGCTGGTAATGGGATATAGACTCTATTCATCCAGCATTCTGTGTTCCTCCGAGGAACACATCCAAGCCTCCGCCTTGGCGTTTGCCGCGATCCGCCGGGATGGCACGGTGGTCACCTGGGGAACTCCCCACGCTGGAGGCGATAGCAGCCACGTCCAGGAGCACAGAGCCCTCGGAGGCTGTTTGAAGTCCAGATCCACCTGGGATCGTTGGCATGTCTGGACGTTTTCGGTGAAATTGAAAGAAGCGCAAGAAGCCTAATGAAGTCCTATTTCGGCCCAATTTGCTAAGACTCCTCCATCTCTGAGACCCCTCTTTCGGCCCCACTGTATCTGCTCACCCCTTTCATCCTGACGACGTTCTGATTCGGCACCCGAACGCCGTCGGAGCTGCAGGACCGGCTCCAGCACATCACTGCGATCCAAGCCTCGCGGCACTCGGCCCGAGGTTCCTTCGCGGCCCTCAGGCGGGAGACGGTGGAGACGGTGGAGACGGTCAAACCGGACCGGTGGACTCGGTCTTGAGAGAACCAGGCGCCAGGGCCCAGTTACCGATGAGAGAGGTACCCAGGAGACCTTGGGTGAGATTTTTACAAGTGTATTTATAGTGTATGATGCAGTCTTGTTGCTCTTTTAGTTCCGAATTCCTGGTCATCCTGGTGGGTGCTTGATGGTGTTTGGAGTCATATTGCAATCACACAACTATATATATATATATTATGCATATATAACTAATTGCTATATGTACATGTGACTGTCTATTTTGGCTTCTGTGTTACAAAGTTGAAACTCTTGGAGCAGGTGTGACCAGATGCATGTTCGTTTTATGCTCATCGAATATTTGCAAGATTTGGACTGGGACGCCCTCAAAACTGGCAGTTAAAGGGAGAGTCACATTGCTGGACGGTTTTGCTATTTTGGTTTGTTGCATCTACGGATTATTGGAGATGGACCTTGTCTCTCAGTACATCTAGACTCATCCCTAACAGCACCTTCGTCTCCGGTCTTCCACCGTCCGCCCCTCGTCTTGAGGTCGGACGGTGGGGTCGTGACCTGGGGAGATCCGGGCTCCGGAGGGCATAGCAAGATGGTGCAACATCAGTCGCTCGGAACTGCCAAAGAACGACCGGACCAATGGACCCAAACAACGAGTTCATTAAATCAACTACTAGCTTCTTGTTACTACTAGTAAGGCACTTGTTACAGTAGCGATGCACTTGTTTCTACTAGCTTATACTAGCTTCTTCAACGAGTTCAGGTGGGGAATGTGATGGATATTCCCGGTTTGGTCACAAGGCCCTCGTCGGTTAGAACTACTTTTTTGGAGTTTTGGGAACAGAGGAGGGCATCAATGATTACTTATTAAATTACAGATGTGTAGGGTCTCAATCGACACTTTAGTATTTTTGTGAAATCAAACACGTATCTCGGGATTGTTCTGAAAACCTCCGGCTGTATTTTTCAATCACGTACAAAACCCAGATTATGTGAAAAAAAACATGCTTTTCCATCTACGAATCTACACACATATTTTTTGGGTTTGGGTGTGCAGGGTAGTGTGATTTATGATCACTAAGACTCAAACTGGGTGTCCTATCGGGCCATCATGGAGGGGGGGGGGCAAGGGATTGTGACTTGTTTCGTCGCCTCAGGATTTCCAGCTTTCAGAGCTGTGTTGTTTGGTGTGCATCGGGAATTTTGAGGACCTTTGAAGCGAGCCAACTGACTTGCTTGGATACCACCTGGGTCAGACAGTTGATCTCTCCTGCTTGAATTTAGGCACGCTTGGGAGATTTCATGTGGTGGTTGCAGTTGTCCCTTTAGATGTTTGATATCGCGGAATGTATGCGCATAGGGCGCTCAAACATTCTTTGTGCAGCAAGTCTTCTACACGATCGACTTCAATTCGGAGAGCGAACTGGCAGGATGCGATGATTGAATACGTTTTGACATGTTCCAGGTTCAGGGCCAGGCCATGCCGCAGAGAACTTTCAATCTCCCACTTGATTGGTTAGCTGCTTGCTGCAGCCAATTGTTGGGCTTCCTTTGTTTGCGGTTCTTTTCTTCCACCATTTGACCGCTCCCCAAGTCTCATGAGACAAGGCGAAAGAGAAGAAAGTCCGCCTCTCCACCAAGTCATAAACATAAACTCCAGCAACTGATAGGAAGTTAATCTAGTGAACCTAGTGGAGGCTCCAATGGTTTCTGGATGCTTTCTAGCAGGATGTTGTCCATCACTTGCACTGTGATGAGCCCATAATTGTGAAGGCTCAATTTGTGGTTTCAAATCTATTGTTGGACAGACTTGGACGAACCAACAGCTTACAACTCACAAGTATTGTTCGTATTGTAAGCCGCGCAGATTGCTTAGCTGGTTTTGCACTGCACACACCCAGAGTCCTGCTCACCGTTCCCCCCCTTAAAAGAAATACCCCTAGTTCACACATGTTCCCACCTCCACACCCCCTTGGCCCTCTGCCCCTTTGCCCCTGCTTTGCCAAACCAATCCAGACCTGGACACGACCGGACCTTCCTCAGGCTCTTTGACGTGGAGCAAATCCAAGCGGCGGAGCATGCCTTCGCGGCGATCCGCAGCGATGGCCGTGTGGTCACCTGGGGCCACGGCGACTTCGCGCCGGAGGAGTCGCATCAGGAGCTGCTGCAGGACGTGTACCTCGGGAGCTCTGTGGTTCCGACCGGGCGAGCTCACATGGGGATGATGTTGGATGATCCAGTCATCACTCATTGAACGTTTTTGATGTGTTGGTAATGATGTGTCATTTCCCATGCAGTTGCATGACCAGCTGGGTGTTGGATGCCCACACGTCCCTGTGTGAGGTGTTGTTGTTGCTTTTCTCAAAGCGTTGCAAAGTAGATGATCCTCGATTGGTGGTAAGTAGATGATCCTCGATTGGTGGTGATAAACAATTATACAAGTTGAGGAGGTTAAGCTCCTTTGCCTTTGAATATAGTGATACAAGTTCTGGGCCTAAACATCAGGATTGGAGCTCCCGAGCCAGATGATTTGTAAAATCAAAGTCTTATCAGGTAGGTGGCGAGGTATTTGTGCAAGAGAGCGTGTGAGCTTGGACTCCCACCAGTTTACTTGAATGGACGTGGCTAGACCGGCCCCCCTGCATGTTGCAAGCCATTTCGTTGTGTTGGATTCCGACAATGCTCAGAGATTTGTGCCAGCTGCTGATGCTGTTGCGTTTGTTGGGATAGCCTGGGTGGAACACTGAAATGACATGGGTGCTTTATTTATGTTTCATTGTTTTGAGGATGCTTTCCCAAGGGGTTGGCCACGTTTAGGTTGCCGAAAGAGAGACTTGAGCGCGCGCGCCTAATACATTTTTAATGGGTTGGGGTCCTCAGCTCTTTTTTTGAGAGAGGGGAACTGCAACTATATATATATATATATGTTGGGAAGGTAAGCTAGTGAGCAATCAATCCTGAGACCCTGGCTTTTCTTGAAGTTGACATTCTTCTTACAGCTGTATCCCAGATACACGGGCTCAAAAAGTTCCATGATGACACAACATATTAATCATGAATCATGTGTATTTGACCAATTTGACCACCCCAAATTGCCATGTTCTGGCTGAACAAATACCTGTCCACCCAAATACCAGTGATTTGGCCAATCGCTTTTCTGGTCGTTTGGAATTCGCCACTGAGTCCCCTCGTACCGTTAAGGCAGCCGGTCACCGTTTGCAGCTTCGGCGCCGGTGCCATCGGCGCCGACGGCGCCACCATCACCTGGACCCACGGCGCTGGACCCTCCGCGGCAGAGCCTGGGAAGTAAGACCTGGCAGTGAGTTTGGGTGGGAAGATGAGCAGAACTGGAGGAAACAAAGAAGATGAACAGAAATTTAGCAGTGCCAGCTTTCTTGACATTTTCTGCCAGACTCACTGGGGTGGAGCGCATTCGGAGCACCACTGCCTTGGCCATGGTTGCCTCCATCTCGTGTGCTTGGAGCTTGCTTAAAGGATATAAGGATCCCACAGTTGGTTCACTACTGCCACGGCACAAAACTTAGAGCCTGGATTTTGGGGTGCCGAAAATGTGGACAATAGATTGTTCAAGAAAACAGTGCTGGCAAGCGGCGACACGGCGACATGTAGTTTTGGCCTGTGGACATGCCAAGTTCCAACGCGCAGCTAGTGATATGATATGTTGATATCTGGCAAGCAGTTCGGGACTGCTCGAGTGTGACGGCAAACCAACATTTAATGTTACTTGCTATGCTGCTGTTTGGGGGCCAGCTCAGATAGACAATAATCGGACAGACGCAAACAATGTATGACCAAGTTTGCCTGCTAGAAAAACTAATTAGGGCACTTTAGGGTACAATCTGACCATGATTCAAGCATCAAATAATTTATATCATACTATATCATACTTCATTTACAGAAAAGGTTGTGGTTTTGGCTTGGGTGGAGTACTGGACGCAACGTGTCATTTGCATGTCGGCTGTGAGAAGCACTTGAGCAGAAAAGCCCTGATTGCTGCACTGCAGTGGGGCGAGCATTTCTCCGGTTCCCTCGATGGAACTGACGGAGCAGTTCGAGCTCGGCGAAGGATGGATACAGTTCGTAATTAGATATGGTCATCCCGTGGACCACCAAACAATCCAGCATTTTATATGCAGGGAGTGAGATCTTGCAAAGCGCACGGACGTAGATGAAGTAACATCTGATGGTTGGTAGAGGAGTTGAGTTGAAGTTCAAGGCGACCTGGTGACATTGAATGAGTCCTTTTTCGATGACAGCTGGGAGTTCGGAACTGCAGCCTGACCATGGCTGACAAGGCCCAGTGGCAAAAGACACACTTTCATCCATGTATCATGTTCATTCCCTGCACGATGGTGTTCAACCAAGGACTGAGAAGTCACGTGCAGCATAACTTTAGAGCTTGTTCCCATGGCCAGCTGCGGTCACTGGGCCCATATCAGTTGGCTTATACAAACGCCTGCGATGTCACCAAACTCCTGTTGGGAAGTGATCCCATTCTGTTTGAAATATGCTGGTCATACACCAGCATGATGGATTGCGTCGAGCTCCCTAAACTGGTCATGGTAGTTGATCGGCAGACCGCGTGTCTCAAACCCATTGTGCATCGCTGTCACTGCAGTTAAAAGGTGCCGCGCGGGCAGCAGTTCATCAGTAGACCATGTAAATTTGCCAAAACCATTCGTGCGAGATTAATTTGAAGTTATATTGACTGTTGTCCAATGCTGTTTGGCCCATGATGTTGCATCTCAGCACTTCGGAACCCCACTGACTGCTTCGGCTCAAGATCGAGCATCGACCGAAGTCGCAAAAGGTTCCCGACCTCCGTTGCATCGATCGGTGGCGCATCTGCCCCACTAACTGCCCTATACCTACCTCGACTCGACTGATGACCATGGCACGCAAGGGTGGACCTTTGTCCCGCTTGGTAGTGGCCTCCTTGGCCTTGGCCTTTTCCTCCTCGAAGCTCCTGTGCTTCTACGCCGGCTCGCCTTCTTGCACGCCTTCCACCTGTTCCACGGAGCTCACGGGGCGCCCGGCGGTGGATGGAATCCCCAAGTCGCCCAAGGCTTGGCGTAAGGCCTTGCCACATGATGCTGTGCCCGTGCGGCAGGCCTTGCACTTGCACCGCTACCTGCAGCTCTGGAGGATCCATTGGATTGGCCCTGAGAATCTGGACCGCGCCGGGCTGCGCGTCACCGGCATGGACACCTACGCCATTGTGGCCTCCGTGTTGCTGCAAGTGATCACCGGGTTCTATGGCTCGGTGCCGGAGCCCGACGACACCGATGAGCGTTTGAAATACCCGAACTTGCACAGGCTGATGTATGAAGGGCAGATGATCTTTGCAGGCATCTCAGTGGTATGCAGCACCTACACCATGGTCATGTTCCTGTTGTGCAAGAGTTACTCTGTGATGGCCTTGGGCATGTACAAGGATGTGTCCTATGATCTCTTTCAAGCGGCCTCCGGGAGATTCCGCCTCCGCGCCTTCTGGAGCCTCATCATCGCCATGCACAGCTTCTTGATCTCCTTTGCCATGAACCTCTTCACGCGCATCAAGGGCAACCGAGGCTTGGCATTCTTCTTCGTGGGAATGCTGGGCATTATCCCAGTGGTCTTCGATTGGCAGATCATCTATCAGATTGCGAAGAAGTATGTGTACGCCTGAGATCGCCTGAGTGCTTGACCGTAGATATAATCATTTGAAGGATTGTCGCTTGAGCGACGCTGGCTGCGGAGGGCCTGCATTCATGGACTGGATTTCAGAATTTCTTGGAAGATGGAAGAAAGGCGGCTCGATTTGGCGCCATGGGTACGACTCTCTTGTTTAAGATAGCAGATCGTGTAAGCCTAATCAGTTTGTTTTTCTTGGAGCTTGACTCCTCTCGTGTTTGAGATGCTCGGACCGGGAAGCTGTCACACAGTGCACCCAGAAACGTGTAGACAATATGGTGAAGCCCTTTTCCAGGGATCTAGGATCATGTCGGATCACCTATTTTCTACATGCCTTGGGTCTGTCCCATGAGCTGTAACAGTCGCTAAACAATTATCACTCTAGAGGAAGGCCTGCAAGCTAACCATCATCCAGTAATTACCCCATATACATGCCTACAATTGCCTATATATATATATATATAGCCTATACTCGCCTTGTGTTCTTTCTGATCGAACGGCTCCAAGGCCCCGCTTCAACCACGACGGCCTGTGGGCCCAAGAGGACCACGTTCCCGGCCGCAGACGGTCCGGGTCAGGGTGGCCCAGCGTCCGATGGCTCTGTTTGTAGCGTTGGAAAAGCCCGACATCCAGATGCATGTGTTGCAAGACTTGCACCTTAGTCAGAGCTTCCCGCTGGGGAAAAAGAACGAACCACTCCCGACAAAACCAACCTGTCAAATCATGCCAAGAGTTTGGAAGAAATCTGACCGACCTGCGCAAATCTGCGGGGGAAATCGTTGTCCCAATACGGAGCAATTGAGTAGGTCCCTCGGCCCCACGCCTTGGAAGACTGGCCAAATATGGCCGATGGCCGTGTGGTTTCGAGAAGCATTCCTTTCTTTGGTTGCTGCGAGCGATTTTGAAATAGTATTAGATTGACGCGTCACTCTTCAATATATCCACTCAGACTCGAAATTGGAGTGAAAGATCCACCAGTGCATGCTGTGGAATTCATCAAGTTCCCCTAGTAGACGATCTCGTTTGGTGCCGTGTCCAAGGTCCACCTGTTCAAGGTAAAACTTCACCCACCGGCCCCATCCAGGCCCGTGTGGAATCGCATCGTAACACAGAAGCCGCCAGCTCAGACACACGGTGACGGTGTGTTCAGAAGTGGAGACCACCCAAAGTGGGATTTGTTATCAAGAGACGTAGCCTGGGCCTCAGGACTCAGGTGCTGCAGGTTTTAGGGCTAAAAGTGTCTTGCAACCTTTGTTTGAGATCATGGAGGTGTAGTAGATCTGAAAGGGTAGGAAATCTCTGTTTGTAAGTCACACTACTTTTGTAGGGAGGCAAATTCAACCGACTCTTTGGGTCATTTAGCTGTGGTTCTTTTCTTCTCTCCCATTTGCTTGGACAAATCTACTTTTCATAAACCTTCAGGACAGCAACATCTTCTGGACACGTTTGGTTTTTCTCGATGCTGCAAGAGCTCCGCCGTGTCGGCCGCCTGGGTCACCGGCCGTGAGGCACTGAAGCTGCTTGGCTCCAATGCTGTTTGTTGGTGCTCGGCGGTGAGTCGTGTGCTCCATATGCAGATGCAAGACCATCTGGAGAAGACCTGGGGAACCAAGAATGGCAACAGAAAATGGATATTTCTCGGTGCTTTGTAGACCCGCGTGGTATGTTGGTTGCCCAGCACAGTCTTTGCTGCTGTAACCCTTTGGGTTCTTTGTCCTAATTTTGTTCATGGTTGATGCACAGTCCACAGTGGTAGCAGGGTCCACGTTTTTTTGGGCGTCCGACCTCGAAACGACGTGTTCAACTGGCGTTGATCACCCGGTTGAGCAAGTCATTGATCACGATTCACCCGAACAAAAGGATTTAAACAGCACTGGACAGCACTTGGACAGCAAGAGTAGCAAGAGTTGATCAGCAGAGCTCTTGCTTGATGATCAGCTCTTGCTTGATCAAGGAAGCCGACTCCAAATGCAAAATGCCACATGTTTCATTATATTGTATATATATATACCGCAGATCGATGGTTTAAAGTCTAAACTAAAGCCGTGTTCCTACCATTACTTCGAAACATGCAGGAAGCGAAGCTGGATGGGCAACCTTGAAAAACGCGAGGAAACACGAACATCAAGTCATGCTCCATGATTCGCCAGGATTCACCCCTTGCAGGCTAAAATGGCTTTGGCGGTGAACGTTCGTGGGACTCCACCGGTGACTGGTCGACAGGAGGTCCAACTCTGGACACTGCCTCTACTGCGGCAGGCCCGAGCGAAGTGGGGCCCCACCGAAGCTTTGATTGCGATCATCCAGGGGATCAAGACCGTTGCCTCACGTTTTTGGTTGGATGATGTTGGATGGGGTTAACTGGTTAACTGCTGTGGATCATCTACCTGGCATCTACTTGTGGAGAGATCAGTGGATGTGTGAGTGGGCAGATTGTTGCGTTCTTGCACTCTTCCAGCAAGTATGCCACAGGTCCTATGAGTGAAGAGACTCCAAAGGAATAACTCGCGTGATTCCGCCAGGAACGAACAAGGGAAGATCTCATCCAAGTTCCTTGGCGGAGTTTTTGAGAAATAGCTCGGCATGGCTAGCAGCTAGTTCTGCCTTCATTTCTATTCTGGTGAGATCCATTCAGTTCCATTGTTTGATGTTGGGATGTGAGTAATCGTTAGATGTTCATCGTCTTAGGAATGGCTGATTTGGCCGGAGGCCTTTTCGCACAGCTCGGTCACATCAGGGCAGCGGACCGATGACTTGGGGAACCGATGCCGTTCTTGGAAGACATTTTCCAAGCACCGGGGGATGGAGCACAAAAAACATCTGTGACAATCAAAAAAGTATTCGAAACCGAAGCTCTTTTTGAAGTGTCCTATCAATTGGTATACTGTATATAATTACGAAAGCTAGCCGATAGGCGACTGCTGAGTTCTCATTTGCGAACGTAGTGAGATGATTAAGGGGGTGTGGGGGGTGAGATGCTGCCCAGCGGGGCAGAAAAAGTCGCTGTCAGCTGGTGTTTTGGGTGAGTTACAGGGTCCGTGTGGACGGGTTATGTACCATGCGGCAATTTGGTGACGGTAGGGCTTCGATTCCTCCCTGCTCCGCCCCTGCGGAGGCTGATTTCGATTCTGATTGAGTCAAAAGTTGAAAAAAACATCGCAAATACCGATGTTTTTTGAAGATGAAAGTGTGAAACAAGGTCAGAAATCTAGTGTTTTTCCTGTGTTTTTAGCCTGCAGGTCGGAAAAACATCGTAGATACCGTGTTTTTGACTGTGAAAACAGGAAAAGCAGGTGGATTTTGATGTTTTTTCTGTGTTAGTGTGCCGGAAAGTAGCAAAAACGTCGTAAATACCATGTTTTTGAATGTGAAGACGTGAAACATGTTGGATTGTTATGCTGGTTCGAGAGTGAAAACATCGTAAATATCATGCTTTTTGGCCTGCAGGGTGGAAAGACCATTGTAAATACTGTGTTTTTAGGTGTGAAAACGTGAAAAGCAGGGAGATTTTTCTGCGTTTGTTTGCCTGCAAGTTGGAACACATATCGTAAATACAGGTTGTGGAATTTGAGCACGTGAAACAATCG